TGTAAATCTTGAATCCAGTTAAACATTAGTCAAACTTATGACTTGATGCTAGTGCCTTTTAAATCTCTATTCAGCATGTGACTCTCAACTTTAGATCTTACTCTAAATGAATAAAAATTCCATACTTCAACATACTGGAGCGCAAATCTGTTGCAGTACAATTGAAGTCTTAAAAATGATTAAATACAATGAGATTATTGCATACGATTCTATCCTAATTCCATGCATCAGAACAATTTAAAACTTAAACAAATTTGCAGTTCACTTTGAAGAATACTTCTAACCATACTAGTGAACAACAACTGCAAGCTTCACAGCATTGCTAGTTAAGACAAGTTTACAATTCAGGTACCAAGTGTTATTGCAGTATCTATATTCAATTTTATATTCAAATAGACACGACATGTAAATCAATAATTGTAATCACTTGTTCAACAGATAAGAACATAGTATTCCCAAAAATCCCTTTTCTTTCATAAAACATGAGTGATCCAAATCAAATTACACAGTCAAAATCGAGGAGATGTACCTTGCTCCAACGGAATAAAGAGGGACAGCGATAAGAAATGAATCTGGAGTTCAGCAATGTAGTGAATCAGCAGCACTCGGCAGTGATTTAAGAGTTTAATCACTCTCCGAAACCCAGAGATTATCCCACAAATTAACAAAAAATCAAATGGCTCTTAAAACGCCCAGAAATTGAAGATTAACCACTTCACTTCCAAGCGAAATTCGGACACAGTTTGCTTTCCTTTCTTCAATAGAGATTTCTCTGTGTCTTCACTATTCTATTTGTCTTCTTTTAAGTCTCAGAGGATGATTTATTTTCCATTGTTTTAGTGTGTATGAGGTGCAAATGAGAATGACGAGGCGGGCTGCTGGGATTGGTGTTGAAGGACGGGGTCTGTGAGAATGAAGAACATGGGGTCGCCACTGTTTGAGAGGTGAGGGTCTGTTATCTCTTTGTGTCTGTGTGAGAGGTGAGGAAAAGACGGGAAGGGGGGGAGGGGGAACGGCGCTAGGTCTAATCTATGGGGGAGGGTTCTGATTGTTCTCTATCTTCGAAAGAGATGATAAGGGAGAAGAGGGTGCGCCGTTTCTTGATTTTTGGAGGGGGGGGGGGGGTTCTTCTGATTCTTTTTTTTTGTGTCTTAGGTTTAATGGGAAGGGAAAATAGGTGTTTTAAGAGAGTGAGGAGGGGATGGGCTTGGGCAGATGAAAGAAGATTGGGCTGAAAATTGGGCCATTTTGGAATTGTTTTGGCCCAGTCCCGATTTTGAGGTCAATTAATTAATTTGAACCTAAAATGTAAAACAAACTAAAGTATTTTTGTATTTTAATTAATGCAAACTAAATGTTAATAATGCAAGTAAAAATCTAAGAATACAAAAAGCAAAAGAGAAAAAATATTTTTGATCATTTTCGTAATTTGAAATGCTACTAAAACATGCTAATATGCAAATGAATGCCAAACAAATAAAAATAAAAATTTCTAAAATTCTACAAAAGTCATTAAACTATTTTTGAATATTTGGGGAGTAATTTCTTATGTGGGGCAAAAATTAGGTGCTCGCAATGATGGAATTGGACAAACCATCATGGATGATTGTAGCACAAGATTAAATATAATTTATCTTGATTATGAAAATAGTTTAATTCCAACTTCTTGTGCTAGTACATTTTGTATGTATTAAACGGACCAAGTAGAGATAAGTATTTTATACTGACTTAATAAAATATACTCTCTAGCCATTAAATGTACTTATATTCTTAATCTTGATATAATTATTATTAGCTGCGTACATTATTATCGTTTTGATTTATTAAAAAGCGAGATTCTTTCGTGGGTCAATATGCCTGGTAATTGAATAATAATAATGTACATTGGCGAAGTAATAGTTAGTTGATGGAATCCTTGTCTCGATTTAGAGATTGATGATACACCTTTATAAAAGCTTATAAGTTTTCATGTGTTAACCCGGCCGGTAGATTTTGTATCCGACACATGAAATAAGTTAAGCGAAAGTCTAAAGGAAATAATCAATAAATTAAATCGTCAGTAATTTAATTTAATTGATTAGTATCTGAATCTTAACATGGGGAGTTAAATAAGATTTAATGGATGAATTTTGAAATTGAATAAGGAGTGCATTTACGAATTTTTTGTGGAATAATTCGTAATTAATTATGGTAGATATTAATTTCGAAAATTAAAAATTAATTCCATAAATGGAGCCTTGTTAATTAAATTTTGTGGTCCCTACTGTGCCTAAATAATAGGAAATAAAGGAATCCTTTTTCTGGTGGAAAAGAAAACCCAACAGGTTTTGGAAAAGGGTTTTAACCCTTAAAACTTGTGATATAAATACATAAGGTTTTCCATCTAGAGGGAGTAGTACATGGTGGCTGAAATTTTCAGCCAAGTTTTCCTAGAAATTTCGCCCACACGAAATTGCTATTTCTAGATATTATTTGGGTAACACACTAGAAGACCGTGGAACGTTCGAGATCGTGATCGTGCGAGTGATGGAGATTTCATCGAATTGCTGTGAAATTGGAGGTTCACGTGATAGAGGAGCTTTGTCCACGCTTCAAGAGGTAACCCGTAAAATCCCGTTTATACTAGTTATCTAGATTACATGTGATTTTAATAGTGAGATTGCTTCCGCCGCTTATTATAATCATCAATGCGATCATAGAAACTTGCTCTCATCTTTCATTTTATGTCAGATACAAGTATAAATAGTCCACTTATACAGTTTTATAAACTCTTTCTCTGACTAATACTCCTTGTACTTGAATCCAAAAACCAAGCGGCCAGGACTTTATAAATTTGTATGGAAATCTTTACACAATCAATAAGACTATAAGAGACAATTAAGTTATATGTTTTCTTTATTGTTATGGAGTGCATTTGTGCATCGACCGAAATTAATTTTAAATATATGAAGTCGTAATACTGAAGGAAGAAGTAAGACTAGTGATTAGTATAAATCACAATTAGGAGCTTGTTTGAAAGCCACATTGGAAATGGATTTGGGTGTAATTACACAATTTGGCATGTTTGTTTGGCCAAGTAATTACTTGGTCAGCATGGAATTGGGCGTAATTGGAGGGGTGTAATTACACTCTCCAATTTTCAAGGGGGAGATGAGAATTGGTGGTAATTACACTATGTAATTGCAAGGTTGCCTTTTAGTTTCTTTCCTTTTTGTTTTTATTTTAAATTATTTTTTTATAACTTTTTATTTCTATTATTTTAATTTTTTAATTTTATTTTTACTTTTTAATTTCTTTTGAAATTTTAAAATATATTTTTCTTTGTACATTATTTAACTTTTATTTCTCTATATTTACGTCTTGTGATTTCATGTAATTGCTTATATTTTATTTTTTATTTATTTTATTATTATATTTTTTTAAACTACACCTCCTAATATTAGAAATAATGAGTCATTAACAAACTTGACATATAAAGAGTGATGCAATTAAAGTGGAATTTTGTTGTTGAATGTAGTTATAAACTTATCTTGTTTCCTAATTATTAAGTTGCACTGAAACTTACTATTATTATGTTGGAATTTGACATATGTTAAACTTTTTTTTTTTTTTTGAATTTTGAAATTGTGTTATATTCATGGTTTCAATTTACTTGTTTTAGTAGTATTGACTCACATTGCATGTTGTTCATTTTTTAGTTAGAATTGATAGATTAGTTTTGTCAAACATTTGAATAATGTTATGACATTATATTTATAAATATTAATTAATTTTATGAAACATGAATTCCATGATGTTCTTACAAAACGTATATTTTATTTTTGTAAGTATCTAAACTAAATATTATTTATTTAAAAAAATATAAATAAGTTTTACAATATTAGTTATAAATATATGATTACTAAATTAATGTATATTCACGAAAAAATATACATCTTAAATACAAAATATAATATCATTTATACTTATAAAAATTTATAGGCATATTTATTATATTAACTTTTAAGTTTTGATAATTACTTAATTTGAAATTTAATCTAATTGTGTAAGTACACTTGTGCAACCAAACAGTAAACTTACAATTACACTGTAATTACACTATGACAAACAAACATGTCATCGCAATTACACAACAATGTAATTACTGCAATGTGTAATTACATCAATTTTAATTATAGAGTGACTTTCGAAACAGACTATAAAGGAAAACTTACATTTTTCATCGGTGGACCACATTGGACGTAGGATAAATGTGATACGTTAATTCAATGTGGTCCTCATGAATATTCCCAATGAGTGCTAAATTAAAGCTGAGGCTTTAACAGTTACGAATTAATTAGCTTTTTAATTTCATGATTATATATATATGTGATCAAAGCTCTAAAGCTAACGCGTGGCTAGATTCCTGCTGTCATTACATAAATTGGCGAAAGTTTTTGTTTTTTACTTCTTTAATCCATGCGCCGTTGGGTTTTGGTTATTCAGCCGAAAGTTTTAGAAATGTCCATCTCTTTTTCTCTCCCACATTATTATTTATACATTACGCAAATGGGAGGGGACCATACACAACTTTCCTGGATATGACACATTACTGATTCCATATTATTCTTTTGTTAAACGACCATATTCCCATATTTTGCTCAAGATCTTAAACCATAAGATGAAAATAAAAAAATAAAGGGATAATCCCTTTTGATCCCTAGTTCGTATTGATAAATTTTGATTTTGGTTCATTATCTGGCTATATATATATATATATATATATATATATATATATATATATATATATTGTTGTGTGTGTGTGTGTGTTATATTCAGATTAGTTTAAGAACTGTATATATCACCCTCAAATATGGAGTAACTAACATAAATTTAAGATAACTCATAGATAAATAAATTATATAAAAATTAATAATGCGATTAATTTGTAAAGATTGACAAGCAAAAGTACCAAAAAGGCACACTTCAATTCATTGAAATTTGAAGGTTAAACGCGCTGATGCCACAAAGATCATAATCAGAATTTACCGATATTTACATGACTAAAACCGCAATTTCCCTTTAGGAAAAAAAAAGACATTACTATATTGTTTCTAGTTAATTGGATTTTGTTAATATTCTACCAAATCATTTCCTCTCTGGTTTGGGTTGTTATACAATTGGAGAGCTTATCCAAAAGTCCGTCCATGCAAAACCTTGCAAATTAACGTAGTTAGAAGTCACGTGGATCAACGAAAATGACCGAACAAGAAGAAACTGGAGACTCCACCCAATTATCCTCAGATTCACCATTCTTGAATTCAAGGTTTTTCATGCACCACAAATCTCCCCATGAAAATTTATTCCAACGTGGGATTGCCTCTTTAACAGGATCATCAACCCCAACTTCAGCCACCAACAAACTACACTCTCTATCATTTCTTCCCATATTGTGTGCGAATGCACAAAGATTTTTCATTAGCCTCGGACCTTCTTTTCCTTCCATATGAATTCCATATAATAAATAAAACCCAAAACTCTTGAAAATATTCGGTATAGATGGCACCCTTAGCCATGGCATCCAAGAATCCAAAACCCTAGTCCCTAGGCAACAAGCATATTTTAAAGGTGATATGCCTCTCACTTGTAGCTTGTAAATATCTTTAGTGTTCCAAACACTTAGTATAGCAAAAGTTGATGGGAAAGATCCACTTTTGGGGTCCCAATTAAGGAGGGTTTTCTTTGGTACGGCCATGAATGTGCCAAAACTAAGGTTGTTGTTTAGGATATGGTTTATGTCTTTAGGGAAGAACTCTGAGTTTGCGAAAATTCGTCGATAAAATGACTCGGAAAGTTGTGGTGAAACTCGAACAATGGCAATGTCCGATGCTATGGGCTTGTAATGAGCATGAACTGGTTGCACCAAAACTGAAGGAGTACGAAATTTCACGTAATTGCATTTGGAGGTGAATAATTTGATAGAAGCTTGGTTGTTACTGTCCGTGGCCATATAAGTGTATTTTGCTCCATTACTTCTGCTCCATTCTTCTAATTCCTCAACTAGTTTTGTTCCAATGCCAAGTCTCCTAAAGTTGATAATAACAACAAAAATAATTAATACAGATTGAATAGTTAGAAAGGTGTGATGGAAAGCATGTTAGACAACTTTGGATAATTAAATTATAAATGGTTTTTAAAATGGTAAAAAAGTAGGAGACAATTTTCCATTGTTCTAGTCATTTTGGGAGTCTCCCATTGATGTTTGTAAAGTTATATTAAAGGTACTTTGGCCCATATAGTTTAACTTATTCAAACATACTGTGAATTAAAGAATATGTTCCGATAACGACATAATTTTTCATATAATACTGTTTACACGCATCATTTGCGTAGATATGAATTTGGATAGTTGGAAAGCATATCCTTTGCCTTATTTCTTCGCATTTGTGCGTGCATCTTTAAGATTTACAGTATAGATTCTAATATTCTATCCATATTTTGTCAAAGTTTGAGCGAAAAAGAAATATATTACGGCAAAATTAGCCCCAGGATTATGGTTTCTGCAAAATACATGATGATGATGATGATGATAATGAAGTATAGTGCCAGTATATATGGTACGTAAGGGTGGTCAACTGACCAGCCTTCGCCGAAAGATTGTACCTAAGGTAAAATATTATTTGTTATTGATAATAAAAATAGACTTTGAATATCCTTGGATACACTATTCTTATTGAATTTTTTGGCTTCGCCACTAATGGTACGTACCTGTGTTGAGATGAAACTCGCAGGCCAAGAATATAAGCAATCTTTACATAAGCTGGACATGGGGTGGAGCCTTTGTTTCCTCTGGTGACAGTCTTTATAGAACCTCTAATTATCCCAACAATTTCTCTATCTTTTCCACACTCAGCTTCAGCTACCTGTTCATCATTATTACAATTGGTTAATAACATATTAGTCATGAAAGAGTAATCCAAATAATTAAGAAGAATTAATCCAAATAGCCGCTCATTAATTACCAGCATGACATGTAAAGGGAGGTTGCGAATACGGCTAATGGGGTCACCCATGAGGTCAGTGAACAACGATGGTTGCCCTCGTTGTCCGAAATCGCACTGTCCCTCCAACTCTTCCACTGCCAACTTGTCTCTTTCTTCATCGTATTGTCTCACTATCACTACTGTTTTCTTATCTTCTGTAGGCAGATGATCCTGATCATTAGCTGCCAAATTCTCTGCTGTGATTTTAAGCGACATTATATTTAGCTATGCTACTGGTGTAGCTAGCCGATAGAGATCGAGGATAATATATCTAAGAGTGGGAAAGTTGAAACTGTAATCTGAGTTGAGCTAAAACTTGATCTTCCATCATCCCATATTTATACCAGCTAAAAAGTACCATACTTTGGTCCTTTCATGTTACTACTAATAAATTAAAGATGTAGACCTGCTAACTGCTGACATGGCACCATCGCCGGTTTTAGAGGACCTTTTCCTTCTCTATTGCTCTTAATAAATTCTCGAGTGCTATCGTGCATTAGCGGCTAGTTTGTATATACTACTATATGGTTTGAGCTTATGTTTCTTTTTGTAACTCCAGGAAAATTCGCAGCCGTTATAACCTCTGTCCTTCGGGTGAGCACTCTGTGGCACTGGGTAAACCCCTCACTGTGTAATAGTCTGCAAACCACATAGGGGATGTAAACCGCACTAGGCAAGCCCCGTGTGACAGCAATGGCAGATCCACATGGGCACCTGTGGGTGCTTTAGCACCCATTAACTTTATAGTCATATTTGGTAAATTCGCATAGACAATTATAAAAATATTTAGATAAATATTGAGTGAGCACCCACAATTAAACTCATTTTTTCTCTTCTTTTGGAATTTTTTTCGGCGAGCACCCATAACTTTAAAATCCTGAATCCGCCACTGTGCGACAGGCTCAGACTAGAGGGCATTGAGGGTGGATCGAACCCTCGTTAGAGCTTATGTTATCTGTACTAACAGTGCAAACAATTTTTATACTATCAGATTAATTTGACATATTCATATCACATTTAATATATCATGAGCAAAAAAATAGAGTAATAAGGCCATCTCCAACCCTAACACCAAATTTCACACCAAAATGGTGTAACACCAAATTTACTCCAACCATTACACCATTTTTACACTAATTCTTCTCTCTCTTCTATATTATATTATTATCTTCTATTTACTTTTCATTTTTTATTTCCTTCAAACTAATACTATCTTTTTTTCTTTTTTTCATATTCATTATATATAATTCACATTCACCACTTATATAATCATTTATTACAAATTATTTTAAAGGATAAATCAACTAAAAGTGAAATCATTGATAAAAGATAATTAAATAAATATTACATCATAGTCAAATTTAATTTAAGTACCACATAAATATTTAAATTTCGCCTCTATTCTCTCATAAATGCTCGATTAATGCATTAAGAAGTGCGAAATGCGCATGTATTTTTATTTTATGTATTGTTAATTTTCTTTTTTAAATTTTAGCTTTCACTTTTCAATTTTAGCAACATTAGATATCTTACATTTGCATTTTTTATTTTTAAATAATGGTTATAATTATAATAATAATAAAATTAACTTATAATTTTATATAAATATAATATATACAAAAATTAATATATCAAAAAATAGGATATAAAATTAAAATTATAAAGATCTTAATACAAAAATTAATTATATACACAATATATGATAAATTANGATTGGTGCAGACAAGCTCAGAAACAAACAGAAGGGGAAACATACTGATCTCAAGGGAGGGGGGAGACATGCTAATAATGTAACCCTCAGCTACAAGCTTCACAGCAAAACCACAAATAGAAGCAAACTAGAAACAAGATGAACTAAAACAATAAGCGAATGATCTTGTTGTTGGAACTTTGAATTGAAACTACGACATACCAGTAAAGAGGATAGTGCGGAGAATGAAAGAACAAGAGAACACAAATGGTTAGCCCTGGCTTGCAGCCGGCTAACATAGAGCAGTAGCAAGTAACACAAGAGAGAGAGCAGAAATTTTTAAGTGTGAGAGATAGTTTTTGAACCAAGTGGTTGTGTTAATGAGAGAGTGTTTATATATAGTAGTTTGAAATTAGGTAAAATAAGGTAAGAATCATAGTAGCATAGTAATTATGGAACCAAATACTAATCAGAATCAAATCAATGCAAGTACCCCTTTAATTAAGGGGTAATCAACCAACGGTAATAGGCAGAAAAATGTTTAAGGAAAGAAATCAAGTAGAGCATCAGGTACAAAATAGACAATTAGGGTAAGTACATAGGGGTTCAATTAAGGAAACAACTAATGAAGAATTAGTAAAATATCGGTTAACCAAATAAGGTAAGAAAACAAAAATAAGTTGTAGAATATGGAAATAATCGAAAATGATCATATAGAAAATCATGGAATAAAGGGATTCGAAATCACTGATTTAAGGAGAATAACTCGTAAACAAGTTAAAACAGGAAAATCGAAAGTCTGCAGGGAAGTTATCAAATCAAGCCAAGAAACAAGGAGTTTAGTGTCAATTAAAGAGAGAGTTTTAGCATATAAAAAGAGTGACATAGGAATAACCAAACACAGGAAGCATAGAGGCCAGTGTTGACCAGTCAAAATGAGCACAAACATACAGAGGTGATATAAGTTAGGCATAAGAAACTCAGTAGAAACACGTTCGAAGCGAGACAGTCACAGAAACTCAAACAAGAACAGGCTAGTCATAGAATCAAACGAAGAAACATAGAAAAATTAGGGCTTTCAACATAGGCAAGTTGAATAGGTAGTAAACTCACATAATTAGTCGAAATATGCAAGAAATAGAAGTTTAAACAATATCAGCTTAAACAAAGTGTTAAAAAGAGTTCCGAAAACCCTAATTTTTGAAGAAGACGAAAACGCTTGAAATCACATGGTTCTTGTAAAGAGTTCCAAGGATAGTGTAAAACTTCACAGAAAGAAACTCAAATCGTTTTAAAACTGTACAGATCTAGGAGATGTAGGTAAAAATTAGGGTTTCAGAAGAAACCCAAAGAGAGATGAAAGAACCTGTCTAGAATCTCAGGATCGTAACAAGTACAGCATGATTTCGCTCGAAATCGCACTGAAGTAGCCAAGAACAGACAAATGAAAAACCCTAAATGCAAGTCGGCGTGGCCCTGGGCCCTTGAAGACCCTAGATAAGGCAAGCATAGCATTAGAGGAACCATTGGAGGCTTAGTTGTTGAAGGGAGAAGACCGGAGAAGAGAGGTCGGCGGTTGAAGGAGTTAGGGTTATATTGAGTGGTTGAGAGAGGAGAGGAGATGAGAGAATACAGAGGTGGAGGTCTCTGAATAATGAGCTAGTGTTAGGGGTCGTTTGGAATTAAAATGGTAAGGGCTAATACGGGCCGTTGTTCTCTCAGATCAACGGCCATGATTTATTATTTTTGGGTCGGGTAGGCGGGTTTAGGGTTTGGGTCAGGTATATCAATTAGGAATTGGGCTGGGGCTGGGTTTAAATTAAGGCTAAGATTGAAATGCAAATCTGGCTATATTATAAATAGCCATTTTTTCCTATATAATTTGTAATAAATAATAAATAATTTCTAAAAAAATAATTTCATGTACTAAAATGATTTAAAATAGATTTTCAGAATTTTAAAATATAGAAGGTCGATTTTATGCATATAAATGTAATTATACATTAATGGGGCTAATATTGCAATTTTATGCAATTTAGTTTTAAAAGTACAAAAATGCAATTATAAAAATGCATAAAAAATATATGGGCCATATTTTGGCATAAGTATAGCAATTAAATGAGTAAATCATCACAACAACAATTTGAAAAATATTTATTGGGGTTTTATGGATAAAAAAAGGGGAAAATAAATCAATTTAGACCCTTAAAATTATGAAAAAAATAATAAAAACCTTGTGCATGCTCATATATGCATATATATGCTATTTCGGAGGTATTTTTTTGTATTTAAAATATATAGGGAAAATTTGGGTATCAGCAGTTACATTGATGGAACCTTTTCAAAAGAAGAGATTCATTGATAAATATAGAAGAAGGTTGAATATGGAGACGGCTTATGCAAATATTAATGGGCAAATATGGTTGTTCTTTGATGCAGTGGTGGAATGGGAATTAGTGGAGGATACTGAGCAACAGGTGACTGTGAGAGTGCTTCACCATGACCTAGGGCAGCACATGATGATGACATTTGTTTATGCAAAATGTTCAGCAATTGAGAGGTTGGAATTGTGGGATCACTTGTATTACTTAGGAACTGATATGAAATTGCCATGGTTGGTAGGAGCGGATTTCAATGTGATATTACATGAAGATGAGAAAATAGGAGGACTACCGGTACACCCGCCTGAATATGAGGATTTTGCATTTTGTGTAAATTCTTGTGGTTTGTTCGAGCAAGGATACAAAGCAAGTCCATTTACATGGTGGAATGGGAGATCCAATGCTGCGTGTATATTCAAAAGATTGGATAGGATATTTGTGAATTTGCCATTTCAGAACATGTTGCCAACTATTGAAGTTGAACATCTAATCAGAACTGGATCATATCATGCACCATTGTTAATGACATGTAGGGAGCAGACAACCAATTTTGTCAAGCCTTTCAGGTTCTTGAACTTTTAGACTAAACATACTACATTTATGGATGTGGTGAGGCAGAATTGGGAAGCTGATTTCATAGGGGATCCGTTTTTGATCTTCAAGCAGAAGCTCAAGAGAGTGAAGGCAGCACTTGTTGATACCCAATTTTTCCCTAAATATTTTTTATACCCAAAATACTTTCAAAATAACATATATGTGCATACATGAGCACACAGAAGAGTTTTGGTACTTTACCAAATTTTTAATGATTTTTAAAACCAATTTATTGCCTATTTTTATACCATAAAATCAAATAATTATTCCCAAAGTTATCATTTTGGTGGACAACCTATTCTTTATTCTCATATTTACACCAAAATATGACTAACATGATTTTTGCATATTTTTTACAAATTTATTTAGTATTTTTCAAAATGAAATTGCACATAATTGCAATATTAGCCCCTTTTAAGATTTAATTGTAATTATATTTATAAAATTGGCCCCAGTATTTTTGATTTGATAATTGTGTATTATTAATCATTTTATCACGTTTGATTTACTTCCAGAAATTATTTTTGCTATTTTTTATAAATTAAACAAGGGAAAAGTGGCTATTTAAAAGTTAGCCCTTTTTGCATTTCAATTTTAACCGGAATTGGGCCCCAATCTCAGCCCCAAATTGAACCCGATTCCCTAACGCAATTTCCTAATCCACCCGACCCAACACCCAATCACCCAAACCGGCCCGTGTCCCTTTTAATCTGAGCCGTTGATCATTTTGATCAACGGCCCAGGCTCCCCCTTACCATTTTTAATTCTAAACGACCCCCCAAACCCTCCCCATTTTCTCAAAGACCGCCGCCTCTAATCCCTCGTCTCTCTCAAACGCTCTCACCCACCTGAAACCCTAATAGCCGCCTACCCCCTCTTCGACCTCAAATCACCGGAATCCATGGCTAATCTAACCATGGACGACTTCTACTCACCACCTACTGCTCCCACACGCCTGCTCGCTGAAGATTCGAGGCTAGACCTCAAGGGTCTTCATCCAGACCTTGGTCGATTCGAGATTCTTTGGCCGTTTCCGGCCTTGCTCCGGCATATCTTGGCCTCTTGAGCCTGGATTCGACCTTATCAACTCAGATCCGTTCTCGTGACTTCCAAGCCTTTCTCGTCCTTTAGGGTTCTCAGAAGCCCTAGCCTATTTGATGTTCCTTTTCGTTTATTCTTTTAGATCTGTGCTAGATCTACGCTGTTGGTAACATTTTAGAGTTTTTCCCCAAATTTCCTTTTTCAAAACTGTTCAAATCAATTTTAGGGTTTTCTGAAAATGGCTCCTAAAATGTTTTCTGATTCTTTTACTCTCCCTTATGTGTGTTTATGCTCGTTGTTTTATTTCCTATTATGTTCGAGGCTGTTCTCTTGTTTCTTACCGGATTTCTACAGAGATTCTTTTTACATTCTGTGTTCACATGCTAGCCTCTGGTGTGACTTACTTCTTTGCTATATGTGTTCAGGCTCAATGCTTTAATTTTGTTTCTAAAGTTCCGCTGAATTCATGTTCTTGCCTACCTTTGTCTTAACGCTCGTGGTTTTCTCTTGTTTCTGTTAGTGCATGTCCTTGCATGATCTCTTGACCTTTTATGACATTCTAGAACTTGCATGTCAGGAATCTTTGGTTTCTTTGAGTTTCTGAATGTTCTTCTAAGGTATATCTGTTATGGGTTTTGTGTTCTCATCTCTAAATTGGTTTAACTTCGCATGCCTAATGTTTGTGCGCTCTTTATATACGCTGAATGTCCCCCTAAAATAACCATAGATTCGGGGACTAATTTCAGACTCTTTGTGTAAGCATGATTTATTCTTTCCTTGTTTATTTAAAAACTCTTTTAACCTTTCGATTCCCCTATTCTGACTTGGTTCAGGGGCAATTTTGAATCCCCTATACCCTGATTTACTACGTACCAATTGATTTACTTTGTCCTTGCCTTATTTACTTGACCGTGTATTTCAAAATTTCTTTCCTTAATTAAACCCCTATGTATTTTACCCCTTATTTGTATGCTATGCACAATATGCTTATTTGATCTCCTTCCTTAAAAAAAACTTTGCCCTTTACAGTTCAAATTTGAATTCCTCAATTAAAGGGATTTTCCACTACTAATTGATTCTAATTGATTCATGGTTATTTTCTTACCTTGTTCCCTGCCTGATTTCAAACTATAAATTACTTCTCCTCCATTCTCTTTTGAACACACACGAATACAGAACGCAATCTGAGTTCACAATCACTCTCACTTAAAACTCTCTCTCTTTTACTTGTGCTGCTGTGGACTTTGTTTACTCTACTTTCTCCTGCACTCTTTTGCTTCTCTACTGGTATGTCTCAGTTAGTTTACATGTCTCCACCACAATGTGTTTACTTCTGCCCACTCCTGTCCAATTCTTTTAGTTGACATTTGTTTCTAGCATATTGTAACATGTTCCCCCTTTCCTTTGTAATTCAGTATTTAAATTATGTATGCATCCTGTCAGTTGCTTGTCATGAATTTGATACTTTATGAATCTCAAACCCTCATACCCCTTTATATGTGAGTTATGGTTCAGGGCATGACAACACTCTAATATTGTTGTCCATGATTCTGGATTGGATTCTTTGAATCCCAAACTCAATCAGTTCCCATTCCCTTTCCCCCTTTATGTGTTTTTAAGCTTTAGACTTGGGTCTGGCAGTGTCCTAATCACTGTCCTGACTCTGGTCTGACCTTTAAGGGTCTGCTCTTAATGTGTTTGACCAAGCAGGTGATCAGGGGTGTGCCAGCCTACTTTGTGGCTAGGTATGACCACAACCTGCCATGGCTCCCCAATCCCCCTTCCACTTTGCACTTACTCTTAGCTATTAAGTTCTGCCCCTCTCTTGCAAGCCATGCTTTGGGACCCCCTGAGCTCCCTCTGAACTTGGATGCCTGAGAGCTGGCTCTTCCACACTGCACTGTTTCTATTTTAATGGTATCTTGGGTGTAAGCAATGTCTGTAATCCCTGAGATTCCTTAGAACTTTGAAACACCCTGGGTAAAGAGAAGGCTTTGGAAATCTGGATCCCGGGAGTGGCTCAGTCGCATATTATTAGACGTTAAGGCTGAATTAGGCTGCTCGGATCTAGCTGTTAGCCTCTGATGTATTTTTTCTACATTCTGTAATAACTTGTATAAACTCGTGGAGTATAGTAAAGCGATGTGGGAGGGGTCTTTACTTTCTTGCATCAAAAGGGTAGAAATCATGATCTTAGGACTTTATTATTTAACCATCTAGAGATCCTGCCTATAGGACTGTTTTAATCACATAGAAAGCATGTCTATAGGACTTAACACTCACTTTCTGCAATTATGCATATAGAAATCCTGCCTATAGGAGTTAATTTTCTGCAAATTTATAGGTGTCATGCCTATAGGATGTGCATACACATGACATTAGGCAAACTTTACGTTTAATAAACAAGCATCCGTCCACAAGTTTGTTAACAAGTTCGGTAATCAATAACTTTTAGGTATCATGTCCATAGGAGCTTCTTTTGAACCAAACTCGCTTAGCTTGTCCAACATCAGTAGCAATTGATTAGCCGTTTCTTATACGCCTAAGTCAGTACATGTTTTCAAAAACGTAGTCTCTAATAAAACTTGTTTCAAATCAGTGCATACTTTTCCCTAAAATCTATTTCTTTAATTGGCATATCTTTTCTGAAACTCCTTCTTTCTAATATTCTGCCTAAACGTGTTTTCCAACTCAATTCCTATCTTTTGAACTCGTCGTTTTAAATCAGTTCCGCAACTCACTCTTTTCTTTAGATAACTCTGTCCCATCTGGAATTTTCAAAACTTTTTTTTTTGTGCTTAACTAAAAATTTGGCAGTTTGTTTTCCCTTTTGAACTAGTTTCTAAACGTCTGCAGCATACCCTTTTTTCTTTAAGACTCTTCTGCATGATCATCTTCTAAAATCAGTACATTCTTAAATGAACTCGCGACTAATTCAGTGCCTTAATCTCTGACAACTGTATCCGAGTTTCCTAATGCAGACTTTCTGTCCAAGTATATATGTTGAACCTGTCTGCTCACTGCTTAATTTTAATCTAAGACCAAATCAGTATTTGTCAAGGCATGCTAAACTATATGATTATTTGATTTCTGGGGTTTATTTGAGCCTTATTTGCTTGTTTATTCTTCCCTTTATTTGATACTTGTTTTGAATATCGAGGTAGAATTTTATCCTTTAAACTCCACAAAGGCCTCCATCCCTTTCTTTCCTTTTAGGATTAGAAGTCCTAATACCCCGGAACTGATAGGATTGGGACGGTTAGTAGCATGCGATAAGTAAACGATACCATTCCGCGCTTTAATACCTTAATGGGGTGGGAAGGGTAGACATGGAGATGATGATTACACGATAACACTATGTGTACGATTGGGTACCAGTGTTGTGAGAATGATCCATGTAATGTATAAACATAGGACTCCCCTCCCCTTTTATTAGTTTATCAATTTTTTTAGAACTTTAAAAGCTGCTGCACTTTCAACTTCTGTTTCTCACACGATTTTTGGTTTGCTTGCACTAATTGCTTGACCTCTTCCCTCTACTTGCACATTTCTTTTACAACTAAACTGCTCCCTTTCTGAATTTCAGCACTTCTTTTAACCTTTTTGTGCTTCCTGTTATACTTGTTAGTTTATTCGCATTTGCACTTAAAGTCACAATTGTAGCATGGTCGGGAACCACACTAGTGGATCTTGAGGGGTGCCTAACATCTTCCCCTCGAGATAATTTCAAGCCCTTACCCAAAACTCTGGTCTGCATCTTTAATTCTTCTAAAAGTGTCCTAATGCACTATAATCATTAGGTGGCGACTCTCCAAACTCCAAAAACCCAATTCCTAAACGGGATAAGAGTTGTCTTCCCGAATGTCGTGAACCCGATTCCGCGAGAAAAACAGGGGCGTTGACAGCACTGTCAAAATGGAGTAGGGAAACATTTGGTGATATCTTCA